CCCACACTAACTGGTCAGACACAAGTGCACCTGTGCCCTCTGAGCCATCAGACTCTCTCCCACTTAGTCTACAGGGATACACTCGGACTTATCCAAGTATGAAACGAACAAAGTTACAGCACCAGCAACAACTACACTTCCTTTCTTGATCTAATGTTTTTTGCTAACCTCACACTCATCTCAAATTGTTTTACAGAACCCAGCCTCATGGGCTCTTACTACAAAGCAGTTATAACGGACACAACACCAGCTGCCTAGATTCAGACCCCGTACCAGACGCCTCCACCACTTCGCAAAACTCAATACTAAATGCCCCAATGCGCTTATACACCTCGCCCCTTAGAGCATAATATTCTAAGACAACTCCACAGACTCCTATGACACATGGCTAGACTTCATGCACATCATTGCAGCCAAATGCATCCCCATTATAGTGTCAAAAACAAACCCCGGGTGCCATGGATACCAAAAACAAATACTGATCGAAGCCCGAATAAAATGTCAACTGCTTGCGCAGGCAAAGAAAAACAAACTACCACACTACACTTGAGGCAGTGCACACCCTCCAGAGACACTTGGAGATACGCATAAGACAGTCGCACTGGGACTATACTTTGATCAGCACTGTGATCAGCTAACTCACTGCCAGTGATCTGTTTCGAAGCCTAAACGGGACATCGGTGTGCATTCACACGACTTGGGCCACTCTGAGGATCACAATAGCTTATGTCAGCACTGTGAGCAGCTAACTCTCACCGTCAGTGATATGTTTCGAAGCATAAACGGAACGCCTGTGGCCATTCACATCACCGAGGCCACTATAAGAATCACAGTAATGTGTGTCAGCACCGTGAGCAGCTAACTATCACTGCCAGTGATCTGTTTCAAAGCCTAAACTGGTAGTAGATGTCCATTCACATAACTAAGGCTACTCTGAGAATAACAGTAATGTGTGTCAGCACTGTGAATGGCTAACTATCACTGCCCGTAATTTGTTTCGAAGCATAATTACAGGACGTCCATGGCCATTCACATGACTGAGGCCACTTTGAGTATCACAATAATGTGTCAGAACTATGAGCGGCTAACTCTCACTGGCAGTGATCTGTCTCAAGGCATAAACGGGACATCAGTGTCCGTTCGCATGACTGAGGCCACTCTGAAAATCACAATAGCGTGTGTCAGCACTGTAAGCAGCTAACTCTCACTGCCAGTAATCTGTTTCGAAGCATAAACGGAACGTCTGTGGTCATTCACATGACCGAGGCCACTCGAAGAATCACAATAACGTGTGTCAGCACTGTGAGCGGCTAACTCTCGCTGCCAGTGATCTGTTTCGAAGCATAATTACGGGACGTCTGTGGTCATTTACACGACTAAAGGCCCATCCAAAGTTCCAAAGAGGATACTTACGAAATCATGAGGCGATAAGACTCCGACATAAAACGAGCGGCACTCCGTTTCCGTCTGTTGCTTTTTTTTTGCTGAGGGGAAAGTTTCCTCTGTCAAGTCTCGCCCGTGTACTCCAGGGGGGTCTTGAGGATGCCCATCACGTGGGTCCAGACAGCCACTCACAAGCTCTGTTGGTTGTCAATCAATCGCTCAAGGCCTCCACTGCTCTCCCGAAAACAAGAAGGGCTCTGCTCTAAATCTTACCCCATGTAGATCCACGCTTCTCTTCTGCGGGTCGTGCCATGTGATAACACAGACGGAGCAATGCTGGACGCGGGTAGCAGGTCTTCAAATGCAAAGATACAAAACCCCTACACTAGAGCAAGATCGAGTAAATTTTGGAACACTAACAAGGATACGAGGGCTCAACAGAACTGATAGACAGCATTCGCAGACGGCATGTGACGTCAAGACCAGGGGTGGATCCAGAGGGGGGGTCCGGATGTCCTGACCCCCTCCCTTGATTTCTGCATGTGTAAAATTTGGGGCGTAAAGCGAAGGAGAGGGGGAAAGGGTTCCTAAACACATGGTACGCTGACCAACACCTGACCCCCCCCCCCCCCTCCCTTAGGAAATTCCTGCATCCGCCCCTGGTCAAGACTGACGAGCACTGAGGCCGCCGAAAAGTGGAGGAAGCGAGGAAAAAAGTTGCGGCGTTTGCTTGGTGCCGTTCGAACGGACATTAGAATGCCAGACTGCTGGACGCAATTCAACTTCCACAATTTTGACGGAGTTGTGTCGCCTCACAATTTCGAAGCATGAACGGAATGGCTGTGGCTGAGGATCACAATAACATGTGTCAACACTGTGGACAGTGAACACTCGATCACTGCCAGTGATCCGCTTCGAAGCATAAATGGGACGCCTGTGGCCATTCACACGACTGAGGCCGCCCTGGAAATAACAATAACTCGTGTTAGCACAGTGGAGAGCAAAATCCCAGCTCTAGTGCTCTGTTTCGAAGCATAATAGGGACGTCGAAAGCTTCCATGAAGTCGACGGCCATTATGACTCTTGGGTCGCACTTCGGTGAATTGGCTAACACCTCGTGGTGGATGAGGAGCAGGCAGTGTCCTGTGCGCCGAGGTGTGGTCTGAAGGGGTGTGGCATAGATTTTCTAAATTTTGGAGGTGCCATTGTGCTCACTTGAAATATATCGTAGAAACAGCACCAATTGCTTGACGTGAGGGAAAGTCTGCTACAACATTGATGAAGGTTGGGTGAGAGGACCGAGATCTGTGGAATGGCAATGCCGGTGACTAGGCCTGATTCAATCAGACTTAAGCTTGATATCGTCAGTCTTGCAGGAACGCTATGATGAAGTGAAGCGGTCCTCCACAGAGACCTTAGTTTTAAGCCCCCCAGACTAGTGCAACGTAGAGGATCAAATCAAACCTTCTTAGAGCCGATAAGAACTACAATGCACAGACTGCGGCCAGACTTGTTGCCGAGGGCAGTGGTGTGAAGTAATGAAAGGCCGTTTTTCAGTGCTTGGAAGGCTTTTGGAACTGGTTTAGATTGAATGGAGGCGTTTCTCGGTTTTGTGATGCTGTGGTTTGTAACAGGCGTAATCCTCTTTTTCGTTGGTGCTGATGTAGTGCCCCCGTCAGCTGGCCCATAGGTCAAATATATACTGTCATGATTTGGGGTCCCTAGCTTCTCGCACCCGGATCAAGTGAGTTGCCTCCTGGAAGGCGAGGGGATGTACTGTTGGAGCGAATTCATCATAGGATCCATCTAATGGATGCTGAGAAGTTATTCCATATGGCGAATCATCCAGAGCCCTTTGAAGGCTGAGGTCGTAAGACTTGCAACGAGATCACATAGGAGGTGGTCGCTTCCCACTGTCAGTGTGCACTCGCCGTGCCCCTCGGCTTAAGGAGCCCCACATTAACCCTTAACTCTCAAGCCCGAGCCCGCTGTACTCGTCATAATTTTGCACCAATAATGCCAATAACAAGTCCTTGTCCAGTCCAAAAACTTTTAAATTTGCCTGATGGAGACGAACCAGCTGCTCCTTATCCAATTTCAGGTCGTGAACTTTAACAGCAGAGGGAAGTGAAATTCACTAGTTTTTTTCTTTTTGTTTATAGAGTGCATTTTGTCTAGCAATGGGTTTCTAAAAATAATGCAAGTTGCAATGGTGTTGAAGCAACACGGCTCGGAAACAGGTTTTTTGTGCGGTGGCACTGTTTCATCAAACATTTCCCCTACAGTTTGTTTCATCGACACTGCGACATTTTATGAACACATTGTTTTATCGACGTATCTTGCTATGTTTCGTCGACGACTTTTTTTTTCTTTTTTGGTTAAGGGTGCGCCAGTGGCGTCACAAGGGGGGGGGGGGGGAGGGGCTGATCGCCCCGGGTGCAGCGCTCAGGGGGGCGTCCCGGGGGGGGGGGGGGGGGGGGTTGGGAGTCGCAGTGAGGAGGGGTGTGTCACGGCAGGCTACTGCCCCGGGTGCTGCTGACCCTCAGGAAGCCACTGGGGTGCGCTGGTGTGTTGGTGAGCAAGGGTACGGGTACATGGACGGGTGCGAGACCACCCGTACACACTGCTGCGAAGTGGCTTGCACGGGTGGGTTGGGCGAGTTCACATTTTTGTAATGAACTGCCGCAGACTGTCGCTGCGAAGCGTCGTGAACTGGGTGGGTTGGATAGTTTAATGCATACCCCAGTGATAAACGCACAACGAAATGTTCCTACAGCGTGCAATTTGCGTGTCGATGAAACTTGACAGCACGGTGTGGTAGTGTTGATGAAACGATCAGTGTCAATGAAACTATCAGTGTCGATGAAATGTGTCACTAACACAACAGGGACCCTTTTTACTGATGATTCTATGGAAGCTCTAAAAATGAGGACTGCAAAGTTGCCTCCAAGAAGAAGTTCGATATGTTTTCTACATGAGTCCGACTTTGCCAAGTAGACCCGAAGGACCATGGGGGACTTTCAAGAGCTCTTTCGCGGCCATCGCCTGATGTAATGCAGAGATGAACATACATCAGAAACGTAATTAGGCAGTACGAGCCTTGGAGCAACACTATTTTCTGTTCACTTGGTTTAATTCCCTTTTCTTTTAAGTCTCCTCTATCTATTTTGTCATTGTCGTTGTTTGATTACGACACATACATTTGGATCAAGATCAGAAAATCTGGGTATTCGGTAGGTTTCTGAATTTTTTAGTTAAATAAATATTTCGCATATAAGAAAGCCACAATTCATGAATTAAAGGGAAGCTGCCCTTGCAATTAATTTTTATTGACATACTTTTCAGCTGTTAGAAATTATTAAACCAATGCTGCAATCGAATTGTGTGGACAAAATGTTCCGTCTAAAGTAATTGAAAAAGTTGGTGCGTGTTTGCCAGCAATACCTTAGGCCGCAACGCGAGTGGGGGTGCGCGCGTCACATACCCGGGTTTCGAAGCATAAACATACGACTGACAGGGCCTCCGAGAGCAAGCGGAATGTTTACTGCAACATTTATTATTTTACATATGTACAATGTCTCTGAGCAGACCACAGCAACTTCACTCGAGTGCAAACCTCACAGTACTTCCCATCTGGGCACAACTTCACTCTCATTGTATAAATCTAAAGCACAGTGAAGCGTGTCATCTTCTCCAGCCTTCACGAGTTTCAGCTCGCTAGACTTGCGCACCTGATAGCAAAACCTGTGCCGGTCAAAACCTTCGTTCATTAGCAATTCAATCAAAATGAATAGCTTGCGTTCGGCAACATACAGAGCTTCCACTCTACAGAAGTGTGGCTCGGCATCCTGGGAAGGTTTCACCAGGACAGTACCACACCGGTACTCACGGTGGTCGAGTGACGCACGCGACACCTGGCGCGCACTCAGTGGCAGGACTCCTTGACCGCAAGGAGGTAGAGCGCTCTGCTCAACTGGCTTGCCAGATGGGGTCACGAGGTCAGAATCAAATGAAAACTCCTTCAGCTGGTGACTCTGCATCAGCTGATGCCGTGTTGACAGGGTTCGAGTGATGTTGCGGAAGTTTTTGACGCGCGAGGCGAGGCTCTTAAAATGTTGATGCTTGGCCTCAAATCTCATTGACCAAAACTGTGGCAGCGGTCCAAGTTCTCGAATTAATCTGGCGTAATGCACCAGGTAGTGCATCTTAGGAGTTATGGCTGCAGCACCATATCGCTGTGCAAAGTCCACGAGAAAGGTCTGCACAGTCGTCTCTAAGTACGGAAGGTACTCGCATGGTATTACCGTAGCAAAGACGATGTCCACAATTTCGCGGAACCGCAGATATAACTCCCAGTCCGCATCACCTTCTGGGACCAGGTCCCCAAGAATCAGACCCAGGAGTCTGAGAAGGCACCACTTTTCAGAAGCAGTGCCCTTCAGGTTCGCTTTGCTTGTCAGAAAGGACCTATTCATTGCAACAGGCTTGTTCTTTTTGTCATTCCATCCGTACTCGAATGAAGCTATGTAATCCAAATCACTGTATGCCAGCGTGCCCCCCTGAACTAATGCCTTCAAAACTTGTCGGAGAATGCACTCAAACCCCCCTTCCAAAATGTCATGCATCAGGTCGGGAGGCAACTGACGCGTGACGTCGAAGTAGGGCAGTTCCAACAGTATGGAGCGTTCAGTGACACCATAAAGTTTCTTGTTGGCGATCGGGTTAATAGCAATGGCTTGCAGGTGCTGCTCATGTGCCTGAGCTGAACGCAGGGCACAGAAATCCTCAGTTGTGACCTCTAGCAGACTTTTAGATGCCGCCATACAAAAGCGGCATACCCTGCCCTGACTAAAACAGCATGAAAACCCTCCAAGGCGGTTCATGGACAGATTGTCTCCACACACGCATAGCACAAACACTTGTGCATTGCGCACTGCTCCTCCACTCGTGAACGTAAGCCCAGATGAGTGCAGTTCCTTAAGATCACTGATGAATGGCTTCAAAATGACGTCCAAGCCATACTGCTGTACATCTTCATACTTACAAAGAGCACCAGGTAGATGGATCTCAGCTGTGACCTGTGCCTTGGATGCAGGTTCAACAAGGTGAAATACACGGCGAGCAGCTTATGCACGCCCCGTTTCGCTCCTAGGGGGTTACATATCTCTACCTCGTCGCTGTATAGCATCAGAAAAATGGTGTACTGCACTCCTTCCGAAATAAGATCCCTGAAATCTTAGAACAGGAGCCCATCAGTGAAGTCGGCATACATCTTGGGGTCGTCACGGCGCAGTTGTGGTGTGTAGATTTGGGCAGCGATGTCAGGAACCTCGCACAGCTTTGCAAGGAGTCTCGGGACTGGTACATAGTGGTAGCAGCCCCCTTCAGTACCGAGATCACATTTTACTGGCTCGACATATGGAAAATGTGTCTTTGCATATTGTTCTCTCATGTGTTTGCTTTGTATCCCCTCAAAAAGGCGGGGCAGGAACGAACATTCCAACAGTGAGATGGCATCTGGGGACAGAGCAGACACATCAATCTTGGCTGCGATTTCAGCAGCATATGCCTTGATGATGCGCTCAAAAACAAGTTGCAGATTGCCGAAGATTTTTTCGGCCACAGTGTGTGCCAGTTTGTGGTTTTCAGTTGTGTTGAAAAAGAAGTTCCAAATAGTAGCAGCTTTGGCTTCTGTCACAAAATCGCTGAACTCTTCTCTTTCTGGAGATCCGCTGCTTTGTTGCGGCTGGGGCGCTTATGGCATTTCAGCATCGTCACTCAGAACCCCTTGGTCAGTGGCTGGGCAGTCCTGGATTTCATTTCTTCGATCGCGGTCGAAGGCACTTCCAGTGCTTTCCAGCAGATCCCTGTGACACCGATAAAGGTGAGTTTTGTACGATGCAAACCGGTTGTAGCTATTTGTGCAACCGGCGATTCCACAATATACTGTGAAGTTGTCGTCACCGCTATGAACGACTCCGATGTGGTTGACCACCTTCGTGAACTGTTCAGAAAAGTATGGGCACCTTGGACAGTATCTTATTACCATTTTTCTTTACGGAACAATAAGCAACTTGCGAACGACACGTTAGTAAACCATGGTATTTGGTTTCGACGCGAAGGCACGTTGTCGAGTACTATTACAGTAGTTCACTGTAGTAACATTCAGCACCATTCACACCATGATACCACAGTGTTGCCAGACGGCCCCACAAAAAACCGCCAAATCGCTGGGGAGTATAGCCCAAATATAGCCAAAGCCAAATATAGCCTAACTAGCCATCCTTATCTATAAAAAAATATAGCCAAAACTAAATACAATTATTTTAAAGCCTTTTACTGGCAATTTTCACGCGCATACAAGACACGTTGCATTTTCTTTTTCAACCCTCAGGTGCACCACATTTTGTGCACATTATGTCCCTTATGAAGGTTTCAAAAATTTGTTTCGGAAGGATAAAGATCCGTGCAGCACTGACCCTTCCTTTGTAGGTTTTCAGAAATACAGAACAAACAAAGACAGCTTTATTGTGAAGTCCGGGAGATATGATCATACAGTAAAAGAACAAAATACTGAAGGAGAACAGTAAGAACACTGTTTCAAACCAGAACCCCAATATCTAACACGGACACCCGTCTCTTTTTCTTTGTGTAGAATATGAGTGTCCCCCATTCCTCTTCACTGTGCTTTGTTGGGGTGGGCGACGACTGGAAGGTAGTCAATGTTTAGCGGTGAAGCTGCGGACTTCTCATTCTTAGGAACTTGGGTGCCTAAGGATTCTCAAATATGGGCATCAAAGCAGCGTTTGGAAAGTTCAGTCTAGGTTCAGGTAGAAGACGTGCTACCGGGCCTGTGGTAATAGTGCAATTTTTTTGGTTTGCTCCACTGCTCTGTGGGAAGACCGCTTGAACTCTGCAAGCATTGCCTCTCCGCATTGTGAAAACCCCGAAGTTTGAAACCAAATTCTCCTTCCTCTCTCTCCTCTCGACTGGACGAAAGAGGAACAATTTTCTTTGAAGCCGATAAGAAGTTTGAAAATTAACTAGTCGAGCCTGGGGTTTCGACAAAAGTTTGCAGTACCCTTAGAAATAGCCCTAAATAGCCACATAGCCAACAACAAAATTTTGACGCCAACTAAAAGAAAATGTAGCCCAATTTGGCTATATATAGCCCAATTTGGCAACACTGCGCGGACGGTCACGGCCCTGGGTTTCGCAGGCGACGATGGAAGGACGGTTTAGAAAAGGATTACAGTGACAAAGAGACAATTAGAATGACGAAAATAATCCCTGGAGAAGGGGAACGAGAGGGACAAAGGACCAACATAAATCTCCATTCGTCATTATTGTCCAGCTCGCTTGCACCTTTGCATTTAATCGCTTTATAATTAAGACAATTAGAAGATTGGTGAAAATTATCTAGGGAAAATTGAATGATGGACAACTAACTAGCACAGCTGGGAACAGGCTGGACAGAGGAAAATTGGGACTCCCTCCCGCGTGGCTCCGGCCCAAAGTCTCTCCCAGTGGGTCCGGTGCTGGGGTAACGCCGAAAAGGTTTGACCAGAGGAAAATTGGCGGCTCCCTAGCCGGGGGGAAGGGGCAGGGGAATGATGTTTATAGTTTTTTTTTTTTTTTGCCCGATCCCTTGAAGGTTATCCTGGTGATATCCCACACTGCCTGGTGATAGTTAGGGGGTTGAAAAGGCGGGAGAAATCACGTTTTTGTCTTTTTAGACTTAAACTAGGTGGCGCAAGCTACCGCCCGTTACAAAGGGTATAGCCGTTAACATTTATCCATCCGCTAGCCGAAATTGGAGCCAAAATCAGATTGACTAGCAAGATAGCGAAAATGTTTTCTTATATTATTTTTGATTATGCAGTATTGAATCGGTATAATGTAACAAAGCAAAAACGCCTTATGACCCACAATTTTGTAATAAAAACATCACCACGAAAAACTAAAATTATCCAGTCCACGTGCAAGCCGCGGCTTGCGCAGCTTGCACGTGCGTGCTGAGACCAACGGTTCTGTGCCCGTAGCCCTACATCCGGAAGCGACAACAAAAAAGGATCGGCGCGCGGTTTCCACAACGGCTGCGTGGCTGCTTTGTGGTTCAAAGCGAAAGCAGGGAACTACGTTGCTACGTTGGTTGGACTTTCTCGGCGTTCCCGCATCACCCTAACTTTTCCAAGTTCGGCGACGGTTTCCTCAGCTGTGGAGACCTCAGTTAACGAGCGTGGCTGGCGTGGCTTAACGCGGAAGTGGTGCAATGAGCGCGATTGAGTGCTTGGTGTCGTACGGCGCACACAAGATAGTTGTCGTTGTTGACGGAGAGCATAAGCGCGCCGATTTAATTCGGACCCTTGCTGGCAATGTGTGGTTCCAAGGAGTGGACCTGCAAACAAGCCACGTCCAGGTCAGCTCAGTTACGTCATTTGTGCTTTGTGCGGGGTCAGCGTGGGACCGGGCAGCACTTGTATAAGAGTGCGGTACGATGAAGAACGAACTTGAAGCTCCGAATCCAGCACGCGCTCATGGCCATTCTCCGCGTGCACGCTTTTGTAACCAAGGCTACAAAGCTCTCGCTGGAAGTGGAGCTTTAGTACGTTCTTAAACTTTCTGGCAATGAAGTCAAAGCTATGTGCGATCACGCAACTTGAGCGCCGATTAAGACTGTGCAGGGGCTATCCTCTCGTCGGATTCGCGGCAGAAAGTTGCCCGCGAGAATCTGCGTCTCCAACTAAGCAAACGGCACCAAGCGTTTGAAATGCCAAGCCTGGGTATCGCGCTAGTGCGCCCTTCTACATCAAACTGTTTGGTCAAGCACATGCTTTTAGGCCCTCTCTAAACTGCTTCGTGATTTCTCCACCACATGACCAAACAGTTTATGTAAAAAGGCGCATTAGCACGAGACCCTCGCTAGACATCTTGGCATTTCAAGCGCTTGGTGCCTTTTGCTGAGTTGGAGCTCGCCCGTTCGATGCTCATTGAAATCGAAACGGGTTCATGCGTGGATCGAATACAGGATCACTAAACTTTTCAGCGCTAGCCCTTTCTACGTGTTCTGAGCTGTTGGAAGTAATCTTATGACTATGCCCACAGTGTAATTTTTCTTTTGTAAAAATTTACGCTGAACTACACACCGGCTCACTGAAAATTTCCTTTCATATTTTTTGAACCAAGTAATGTCGTGTTTTTAAACTTTAGCATTTTGTACAGGCAGCTAGCGTCAGGGTATGGCGGAGGAGTATCAGCTTTCTGCGATGCATCACCACTTGTGACCAGGAGGCCGTTTTAGGATATGGATACGTGTAGGCCCGTCAGAGATTTTTGTGAAATGTTCTCTGGTTTTACTTGTGCATACCTTAGGTTACGTGTGTTGACAGTGATGCCTATAACTTTCCTTTCATTCTTTTGTCGCACAAGGTATACCATCCTCGGTATAAAACAGATGTGGACCTCATGGAGGGCACGATCCTCGAGGATGCAGCGCTGGTAACCATTTCTTTGGATGAGTCACAGTTCAGGTGGGTAAAAATGCTTGCAAAGACTGAAGCAGTCAGGCATGTGTGCTTCAAGTGCTGTTATCAGGACTGACAACAACGATGCCTCTGCAAGAAAATGTTCAAGACTGTCTGTGTAGCATAATTGGGCTCAACTTGTTTTTGACATCATGTATAGATGCTGGCTTTTAGCAGTTGAAACCGAGTCGTCTAGGTAGAAACAATGCAGCTATAGTTGTTTGCACTTTTGACATGTTTTGGTTTCCCTGTGGGATAAAAGATAACATATGCACGTGTCTGTGTGAACAAGTTATGAC